AAAAAAGAAAAAAAAGGAAAGAAAAAACGACAAGAGCACAGCTAGGAGGTAGTTTAAGACTACTACATTGTGCATGCTGTCAAGAGAGGGCAGCATGGTAGTGTGGTGTGGCCAGAGAAAACACGGATACATGCTTGAGACAAGTGCGTGCATGTGGGGACAAGTGGCACATAAGGATAGGAAGCAATAGGGCTCAATCGTGTTGCTTGGAAATATTAGTGCTACATATTTATTGCCATGTCACCCATTTTCTCCTTCACAAGGTTGAATCTTTTAACTCAAAATATTCTCCCCGGTAGCATTTAGATGTTATCTAAGTTAGCCTACTCAAACGTAATGAAGAAAGGAAGAAAGACATAAAACACAAGTACTCACTCTCTGGGCAAAAACCTTTCCAAACCTTTCTTTTCTTCTTCTTCTTCTTCTTGAAAAGGAAACGAATTTCTTCATGGAAGAAATGAAAAATTACATAAGAGTATCTTAGTTAGGCTTACTCACACATAAGGATACTATGTTTGAAGAAAGGAAGCAAGGCATAAAACACAGGTACTCACACTTTGGGCAAAAACCTTTCCAAAACTTTCCTTTTTCCTTCTTTTTTGAAAAGGAAACAAATTTTTTCATTGAAGAAATGAAAAATTACATAAGGGTAGCAACGAAAGACTAATATACTAATGAACAAAACTATCCAAGATTCCTTGTAGCTTTGGCTTCTCTCCCAGTTTTTCTGACCAAGCTTCTGGCATGTTGAAGGATTTTCTGTCTTCCTTCTCACCTATTCATTCAGTAGACTATTTATCTTGATTATAGTCCTAGTGAATCTTCCATAAGATGAGCAATTACTTTTCCAATGTTTATAATTGTTTGATAAAGAACTGAGGAGCAATAATGCCTGAAGTTCATTTTCTAAGTTTGTTGATGCCGGAATCCAGTATACTGCTGTGGCCGGCGAATGGTGACGTAGTTGTCTCCTTTGTGTGCGCGTAATCTGCAAAATCGAACTCAACACTGGTGTGGTGCTCTGCTGATTGTACTCCAAAACTTAAGTTAGAACTTGGGTTGGGAGAGTTAAGAGGAGAGCAAGTGTATGGTGCTCTGCTGAATGTACTCCAAAGCTTAAGTTAGAACATGCTCTGATAAATCGAGGCCGTACAATCGGTTAGAGTGTTCTTAGTCTACTCCAGTGTTTTTGAGGCGCAAGACGCACTTCAAGGTGACAAGCCCTTTGATCGCCTTGAGGCGAGAGGTGATAAAAAGGCGACGCCCGACTGATGCGAGGCGCACCTTAATAAATAAATAAAAATTATATATATAGTGCATAAATTTATATAGTAAACATAGTTTAAAAAATCAATACCAAAATAGTGTCATAGTAAATGTCAACAAGATACATAAAACAATCAAATTCTATTAGTTCCCAAGACAAGCAACATTAAGAAATACTCAGACTCATCTAAATTTAAATTCTCTCCATCTTGAACATCCTTACAATCTTTCTTTTTCTAATTCTTCTTCTTCGGTGTCATCATCATCACTAACCACCATTGGCATTGGTGTGAAATGAAAGAGAAGAAAAGGAATACATGAGATAAAAGAATAAAAAAAAGAAAAGAAAGAAACCTTCGAGCAAGAGTGAAGTCGAAGGAGGAGGCGGTGGCGACGACGATGGTCAGAGACCGCAGGTGGGTGAGTTGAGGGTGAAAGTCGAGAGGCAGAGATTGAGAAATTAGGGTTTGGGTATTTCTTTTGTGAGGTAGAGAGAAATAGAATAGTTTCTAAAACTATTTAAAAAAAAAACGAGGTGAGAGGAGCACAAAGGTGAACCGAGGCGAGCGCTCGGTTGAAGGTTCTCGCCTGGGCACCTTGCAAGGCGCACCTGGGCGAAATCGCCTTGCCTTGTGCCCAAGTGCACCTCGAAATCACTAGTCTACTCTTACTTGGACATGCGAGATCATACCCTCGCTCAATGCTAGTGGATCTTTCATCGGTTGAATTCTGCCCGAGGAAAGTAGACGAGTTAGACTGTCCATCTTTGGGGCACGCACACTTTCCTGCAGTTGCCTATCGAGTTTGGAGTGGGCTCATACTCCTCGTGGCATCTAGGGATTTGCCCACGTGTCTTGTTGAGTTTCAGCCCATAACAAAGTTCATTTGCATTTTAGACAACTGGTTCACAATGCTTTGCATTTCATTTAAATGCTTTGCAATTGGACTCTTATTTTTCAAATTTATTTTGTGTCAAACAAGTTTTGTTGCCTGCTGTTTTCCTTCTGCATACCTAACCTCCAACATCTTCCATAAGAAGAGTGTGTCGATATCTCGTTGACAATGTGATAGTATACGCTATCATTAACCCACTACCCATTGATATATACTATGACTTGCCTGTCCAAAAGTCATCAATCATCTTTGGACTTATTTTTTGGCTTTGATGACTCTCTCTTAAATGGAGTGAAAATTTTTCAATGAAGGAAGTCTTTAAACGTGTAGTTAGTGAGTTTAAGCACATAGGAAAATAGGAAAAAAGAAAAATGTTACTGAACAATTCCAAAAATCTTCCACCATCGAAATAGTGGGGTATACAACTTTCTTTCCAAGTTGCGAGTAGAGAATATAATGACAATCAATAATACATCAGACAATAATCCTAACAACTATTGTAATATGAAATTCCCTTCATATACAGAAAAGTGGAACTGAATAAAGCATAGAGAGATATCTCATTGAAGAAGACGACTCAAACCGAACTGCACAAAAGAAATGATATGCCTTGGCAAAGACAATTAGACGGTCTCCTCTTCATTCTGTTGGAAAAAGCAAACTAGTCTCCTTTCCTTTTGTCTTGGCATCAAGTATTTAGGCACTTTTTTCTTTCATCCTTGTGCGGCACGCCACCACTTCCTCCTCCTTCTACTTCGTCTTTTTCCATTTTTTCTTCGATTTAATTTTTTTCCAACGAACCCTAATGGGCTTTTGGATGGTAGACTTGCACGTGAGGTAGGGCCCAACAGGAGGAACATAACAGACGTGGAACCAATGATTTAATTAAATAAAATTTGAAAGGTTTTGTGGGTTATTGGACATAGATTACACACACATGCGCATGTGTGCAAATATATGTGTTTATATATATTTATTTATTTGCCAAGGAAACCAATTTCATTAAACAGAATAAGTTTGATTAGTTTGTTTTAAATTACACCATTATCTGTATGTTTAACTCAACCCCACACAGGGAAGTTAAGTCAAATATTTTTGTGAACCTTGTTTGGGTTTTCTTTGCAGAGGGTATTCCATCTGTTGGAATGTCTCCATTTTCATGTGGATGGTCCACTTGTGAAAGAAATGTTAGATCCATTTTAGAAGACTGTATTCTTGAAACTTATTTTTTCAACCTTTCTCCTTCTTTTAATTATTCCTTTGTTTGTCATTCAATTTATTGTTGAATGTTTTTTTTTTTTGCTCCAGATAGCTGCAGTTGATTTACATGGAGTTTCTAAAGCTATTAACTTTGGATTTGTTCCTGTAAGGTTTATATTTTAGCATTGGTGTTCCATAATTAACGATACATTTATGTTGTTGATTGTTTCTTATAATTCTTTCTCATTCTTTCTTTTTATCAGAAACAATTCCATTGATGAAATAAAATACCATTTTTTCTTATTGTTTCAAGTACTTGATTCAATTTGATGCTTTCAAAAGAGATTATATCATTAAATACCAGAGATCTCTTTTCTTTAACCTGGATTTGTTTTTGTTATGATGATGTGAGAAAAAATATGGGAGAACCGGAGAATATGTTGTACCATCCTATACACTAAAGTTACATATATATAGGCATGCACAGAAGCCCTAAACTAATAATAGTAAAATTACAATAAGGGACAAATGACTAATAAAGTCCTATTTAACAATACATACTACAACACTCTCCCTCGAACTAGAGCATATATGTTAATCATACCTAACATATATATATATATATATATATATATATATTAATTAGAAATCGAGCTTTCATTGAGAATTATGAAAGAATATACAAGGACATACAAAAAAACAGCCCAACAAAAAGAGCCCAACCTAAAGGGAACCTAAAGGAAGGGCATACAAACAAAACCATGCCTAACATGTTACAAAGGTAATCTATTTGTACTCTATTTAAAGCTTTCATAAAGATGTTCCCTATTTGCTATCTAGTCTTCATATATCCAAACACTAAATCTTGTTGTATTTTCTCGCAAACAAAACAAGAATCAACTTCAATATGCTTAGGCCACTCATGAAATATTGGGTTAGATGCAATATGAAGGATAACTTGGGTTGTGACTCCAAATCTTGGTTGGAACTATGACATTGAAATCTAACTCGGTCAAGAGTTGATGTATCCACATTATTTCACATATGAACTCTTAGTGGCCTATGTTCATGATTCAACCTGTAACACTATTTCTCATCGGATTTGTCCTCATACAATGTCTTTGGATCTAGATGTGCATCTCTGATTCTCTCCCGCCTTTAGAACTTTGCCTGCACATGGTTCAACTATAATTTTCGGATTTTCGGTCGTAGATGAACTAAAACATACTAATATACATTATTAGTTGTGAAAAAACTTTTTCTTGATTCGAAACCATTATTACAACATGAGAAAAAAAGAAAATCACAAATAACAATTATCTCCCTCGGACATTTTTGGAATACACCCTCCAGTTATACATTTGTTTGGTTAGGTGGTGGATCTCCTATTCACTCTCTCCTGCGATAATGGTTTTTCTTGGCCCTCCAACTTATCAGGGATCAAACGAACGTCCACAAAGTGAACTTCCGTCTTGTCCAGTTAGGCATGAATCAACATCCCAATCCGTAGATTCCTCTAAACCACTTGAAATGTCAATCACCTCACGATTGATCCTCTGAACTCACCTTGACGGTGCTTTTGACAATGGGTAACTTTTATTTCACGACTGCTTTGATACCATGTAGAGAAACTAATTAGTAACTTTTATTTCATGATTTATGTTAGGTTCGAGCCCTTTTTGTTTTAGTTTGACTCATTGTGTGGGCTTATCTTTTTGTATACCCCTTGTATTCTTTCATTTTTCTTCATGAAAGCGTGGTTTCTTATTAAAAAAAAACTTATATTTCATGATTTATCAACTATTGCTACCTTATTTTTTAATCAATATAAAAAGGTAACTAGAAAATAAGGAAAAATTAGCTTACAGGGAAGTAATTACAAAGGATTTGGGAAAGAGGCTGATATTTTGGATCTAAATAACTAATACATTGCGACTGTAACCTTTTGCTTAGGTTCTGCATGGAGATGCCGTTTTTGATGATTCCCTGGTTTGCTCTCTTCTGTTTCAAATTTTCATTATTTGGTCGACTATTAATTTATCTAACTTTTTTTTTTCTTGTTAATAAGGGGTGCACCATATTAAGCGGAGATGTAATAATTCGACATCTTGCAGAGCATCTAAAGCCTGATTATGTTGTTTTCCTTGTATCCTTATGACTTCCAAGATGATTTAATTTCATGCACTGATACCATGGACACAGCTACAGCATATAAGTGGACTAATCTGAGTTCTGTTTATGAATGCACCATCAGAGAGATGGTTTACAGTAGAGTAGAGTTAACCTAATCACAAGGTTCTTCTCTTCGTCTTTTGTTGCTGGTAGAACATAATTCGATAAATGACCAATTTGATTAGGGTGGTGCTATACCATGTATATGTCAGTTAACCGTAAATCCACAAACTCAGACATTCTTATGAATTGTTTTATCTTTCTCATCCTACGTGTAGGAATATATATTTCTTTTGCAAGTGTTCCACTTAACTTAGATTGAAGACAGATGTTTTAGGGGTTTATGATCGTCCTCCTTCAGAACCTAATGCAGTCCTTCTGAGAGAGATTGGTAAGATGATAAAAGATCCTCTTGACGTAATTTTAAACTACAGAAGTTTGAGACCTGAACTGACCAATTCTTTAATACTGCAGTTGTGGGTGAAGATGGTCGTTGGTCTGTTTTACAACCTATAATGCACAACAGTAATACAGAAGGTTTGAACGTTGTTTTTCACTTCACTGCATAGTCATGAGACAACTTTTTTTGGCTAAATAATGTTTACGTCAAAAAAGAAGCAAAGCACGGAAAAAACATGTTATACATACCAAATTAACTTACCTGAAGACTGGCAGATACATTTGACCTCAATATTGTTATTTATCGGAGTTGTAGCCTATGTAGATTTGGGAGAAAAGGGTCCTGAACTTTTCCATTCCTTTGAGTTATTTATATATATAATATAAGGGTGTACACGAGGTTTTAAGGAGAGGGTAAAATAATATTATTTCTCTTATATAGGAGAAAGGAAAAGGAAAATATAGGAAATAAATACGACATAATTATTAACATGAATATGAACAACTAATACACAACTAATATTTATATAACTAAAATCCAACACTCTCTCAAGCTGATTTAAAGATGTCTTCCATGACCAATTTGTCAATCAATTTATCAAATTGTCCTCTTGGGAGTCCTTAGTTAGCCATCAACTTGTTGGAAGATGAGAAAAACATAGACACTGTAAGGTATCCCTTACATTTTTGGAATTCAAATCAGCAAACAAGGCCTTAAGGCCATACAAAATACTCAGTATATTCGAGAGGACTGAGAAGCTCTCCTGCCCTAATCTTTTGCACAAGCAAAATTCAAAATAAAGCCTAACCTCCCTAACCTCCTACCTGACACTATAAACCCCACAGCCCAAAAAGGCTCCAATAGCCGTACAACACGAATTCTAACGGTCAGTGGGTGAATTCCCTTTCCTACCCTTTCTTGTATAAGTCGTTACCACTGGGGGCCTCACATACACCTACATTGGTTTTTCTTTTATATAAAATATTTATCAACTTCAATATACTTTGTCTTATCATGTAAAATTGGATTATGTGTTGAGAATGGAGCCAAATTAAAAGAAAGAATGAAGGTGGCTTAATGGGCTTAAATAAAAAAAGGCCCATTACATTATTTCTTCTTCATTAAGTTGGCAATTTTCTTTTGTTAAAAAGTAAGTGTCTGCCGCCCACGATTTTAACAACCCCTAGAGAGAGAATCAAGTGAGAGAAATTTACAGAGAGAGGGTTTTGGCGAGAGTTTCTTCGTGAGGCTTCACAGAGAAGAAAAACGTGAGCTCTGTAAGTTTTTTTGTTTCCATTGAAGAATGTTAGAAGCTTATAAGAGTGATTCGTGAGCATTTTTCTTTGAGAGAAAAGTGAGAGAAATCATTATAGAGCGTTGTAAACTCTTGAAGATTCTCCTGACATTTAGTGGAACCTGCAACGGTAGCAGAGAACTGGACGTAGCCCACATTGGGTGAACCAGTATAAATCCGGTGTCGATTTCTCTTTCCTATATTTTATTGTTCTTGTTGCTTGAGGTTTAGGTTGATTTATCTACTCTTTGAGCATAGTTCTGATTTGATTTATTTCCGTTATAATTGGAACCAGAACCTGATCTGGGATTAGTTAGCATATATTGTCTGGAATTGTGATTGAGATAATATTTGTTAGCTTGTTTTATTCCTATCATTATGTGCTACGGAGATGACAGCATTGATTTGAAATTCTCTTTAAGCTTCTTAAAGATCAACCAAACCTGCTTCATCATCTCTTTGAAGAATAATATATCATCTACCTAAACAATTAAAATTGCAGTTTTATTATTCTTAGAGTGTTTATATGGTCTGCTTGGGTCTGAATGAATAACCTGTTACCACTTTTTCGAGGTGTCCAAACTATGCTCTTGGAGACTATCTAAGACCATATTGAGATTTGCTTAATATGTAGACTTTGTTGTTCGTGAGTTCCACATTTTGTATCTCAGTGGCACGCTCATAGAAGCTTCTTCCACTAGTAAGAAAACCTTTTTTTGCCAATTGATGAAAATGGCCCATTTAAATTAACAATGAGAGAAAAAAGAATTATGAAAAAGTTAATTTTAACAACTGGAGCTGAAGTCTTTTGATAATTAATCCCAGAGGTTTGGGTAAAGCATTTAGCTATTAACCAAACTTTGTGTCTTATTTTATGGTAAACACCCACTGAAATTCTACTACTTTCTTATTATGTGATGAATATGTTATTTCTCAAATACCACTTTATTTAGAGCATCAATCTCCTCCATTCTTGTATATTCCTAGTTATCCCAGTCAAAGCTTTATGACTATTTGAATTTTGAACATTTCCAATATGAGAGATAGTTTACCTTGGAAGTTTTGGTGCAACCTCATGTACCTTTTTTAATAGCTATAGAAATATCTAATCATGGTAGCTATAGAAATATCTAAATCATATATGATAGATGAGCAATGTATTGGTACCAGAATAAGGATTTTCAGAATCTTTGGGAGTATGTATAAGATTACAATAATTTGCATTGTCATTTCTGTAGTTTCAGACTAGTTCCGTGAAGTATCATTTATACAAAAACTTGGGAGTTTGATTTGTAGAATCATTTTAATATCTCCTCCTAAATGAGAAGTTTCTACACTTGGCATCAAAGAACTAATGTAACTAGAACAAATGATATTTGGAAGAGGAACAATAGGATGATTAGATGCAGCAGGGTTTTATTTGCTATAATTGCTGGATTGTCCTACAGAATTCAGGTATATATTTTTTGTTTTTATTTGTGATTACCAGTTGAGATAACTGTAGCTGCCCATGATACAACTGGGGGAATGGTGACTAAGATATCCGAGGCGGCAATGATTGCAAAGCTTGGCATTGAAGTCTACATTGTAAAGGTGACTCTTTTTGTACTTTGTCCTTGGACGAATACCATACGATGTTATATATTACTTATGCGTGGAGCTTGATGCAGGCGGCAACAGATCACTCCTTGAGAGCCCTAAGTGGAAAAATCCGAGGCAAAATTCCTGATGACTGGCTTGGGACGGTCATCCGGTTTTCAAGATAGATCTTCAATCAGGTACGTCCAGTGGAATATCTCAAGTTATGATCTATTTCGTAAATTACTGTGCTACATTTCGGCACGAGATGAGAAAACTCAAAAACTCGATGTCTTAAGATTATAATTAAGGATTCATGGTATGAACCCCATTATGTCCAGGTACATTTTTTGACATTAAAGTTAGTCCAATTATTCAGCTGTCTGATTGTTCCAAAACAGTTATTGGAATTCACTTGTATCAGTTTCTGCAATAGGACTTACCAAAACTCCCCCTACTTTGATGAAAATTGCTAATGTTGCTTCTTAAATGTTTTAACTTATTTTTCCGCCGAATCAAAACTGAAGTAAGTCATTTATCTGCTAACTGCAATGCACTTTGCCTCTGCCAAAGCAATTGAATGCACATGCTCATAAGTTATAATGAATGAATTGTCATTTGGAATGAGTTTCAAGATTTTTATCTCAATTTTTGTAGGTTAGTAGTATTTTATTTTATTTTATTTATTTATTTATTTATTATTATTATTATTTTTTCATGAGATGTTGGTTGGTAGTTTATTGAACATTATGTAGGACATTATTATGGTGGCTTGGTACCTTTTATGGTTGATAAAATTGGAATAAAGCATATCAGGCTTAAAGCCCCCTGTAAAATATGAAGACTCTTGTGTTTTTATCTGGATAGACATCTTCACCCTCATATATAAACTTCAAGCTAAATTACAACAATACCTCTTGACTTTTTCCTTTGTTTAAAACATCCTTCTATTCTTTCAAAAGTTTCAATACCCTTGAACTTTCACAAACATTTTTTTTTGTGAAAGAAACAATTTCATTGATAATATGAAATTACAAAAGAGATAACAAAGACTCAAAGAGGGTTACATAAAACATTTCCAATTGTAAAAAAGGGAAGTGTAGGAATAATGGTGAAAAAGAGGAGAACTTTTACTCCAAGTGATAACTGTGAAGACTAATGAATCAAAAACCCTTTCAAAGGGGAGGTCTTTGTCATTGAAAGTTCGATTGTTTCTTTCTCTCCAAGTTATCCAAAAGAGGGCTCTAACAAAATGCTTCCATAGAATTTCCTTTTCTTTTGTAAAAGGATGGCCATTGAAGTTGTACTCCAGTAGAAGAGGGATATCATAAGGTAATGCCGTGAACCATCCAAACAATTGAAGAAAGTTTTTCCAGATACCAAATGAAAATGGGCATGTGATGAAAAAATGTGTCTGTGACTCAGATTCTGTCTTACACATTGCGCACCAATGGGGAGAGATAGACATGTAAGGCAGTCTCCTTTGTAGCTTATCAAATGCGTTTATGGCTTTGTGGCTGCATTCCCAAATGAAAAATTTTACTTTTTTGGGATAAGAGTCCTTCCAAATGGCCTCGTAGAGTATAGTAGAAGAGATCGGGTTGTTAGGTGTGAGGTCTTTGGTGAGGGAGCTTGTTGAAAAGGAACCGGTTGCTTCTAGTCTCCAGAAAATTGTGTCCTCTTCAGCTGTCAGGTATATATTTGAGATTTTATGCGATAGGGCGGCCCATTCAACTATTTCGGCTTCATTCAACTTTCACAAACATTTCAAAAATATTCCTTAAGTAAATATCCGTTAATATTTTGAACGGAAAGTTGACGTGGTAGCATCTGGAACAACATGGAAATCAACTTGGAACTTTACGTGACATGTAGGTTCTAATTTTGCCTCAAAATTCTTTTTCCTCAATTTACCACTTTTATCCTCCATTTACCTTTCGTAAACGTTTCAATACTACCTTTGGAATTTCTAGTATGTTTAAAAAAATACTCTTTAAGTGGCATAGAGATCCTAATTTTGTCTTAAAAGTCTTCTTTCTCCATTGTCAACAAAGTTTGTTTCTCCATTGTCTACACAATTTTGCCCTAATCCTCTTTTTAAACGTGATAGTTTCACATTTCCTCTCTTTCCGACTTTTTCCAAGGAAGCTTCTATGTTAACTGTCACGTAATTTCAGATTTGGTCACATCAACTTTCATTCAACATATTAACTGATGTTTGCTCAAAGGATATTTTTGAAATGAAATCCTTATAATTGATCAATAGTAATATTGAAACTTTTGAGAGGATAGAGGTATTTTTGAAAAAAAAGCCAAGTTTAGGGGTACGTTTGTAATTTAGCCAAAATTTTAGGGCTCTGAGTCTTTTTTTTTTCACTTCATATCCAACTCTCACTCTTAACCCCTGACCGGTCTTTTGTGTTTGGAGTGTACTTTCTTTTTGTTTACGAATAAAATTATTATTATGTTGTAAAATTAGGTCTTTTTATGTAAAGGAAATATTGGTTATAAAATAAATAAAGGGCAAATTGCACAACCCACCCCTAAAGTAGTTGTTACAATTACACTTCAAAACTTTAAATTGTAAAAAATAAACTGTTAAAACTTTTACAAAGTGAAAAAATTACAATGATGGTTACAATTACACCTCCAAACTTCAATTGCAAAAATTAAAGCCCTTAAACTTCCAATTTTAAAAAATTAAACTGGTAAACTTTCGTACATGAAAAATTCAATTTTTTTTTTCACTCTTTCTCCTCTCTTTCTATTGCCTCTCTCCTCCGTGTTCTCCTTCTCTCTGCCCTCTCCTTAGAAAACTTGCTGGTATTCTATATTCCAAAAATTTATCTATTCGAGCAAAATTGGGACTCGTTGAGGATATCAGAGCAGCGAGAATGTGGGTGTAGTTTTTGGGCAAGAATCTTCCTCAAATGACGTCAGATTCCACCTGCGACCGGAACGCCGACGAAGGAAGTAGATGTAGTACGACAATTACCTTTTGAGATATCAACAAAAACATTATCGAAGAGTTCAGAGGATGAGGTGGATAAATCTCAGCTGCAGGAGGGTGATTTTATTACTCCGCCGGCCACCCTATCGGGTATCAGAGATACTGATGATCTATCCAACTTTTTATTAACCCCTTTGACTATGGGTATGCCTTAGGGAGATGAGATAAATCGGATTGTGCATGTCATTCAGAGAGATTCCGAAGAGTAAACAAAGCCGACTATTGAATGTTACGGGAGCTAGTGCCATATATTGGCCCCAATTGCAAATCCCGTGCAAAATGAGTTTCTTAAGGCTCCAGTGGAATCCAATAGCCATGCATGGGCAAACAAGTTTCCATGTTCTGATGATGATGAGATTGAACGAGGTAGGGAGCATTCAGTAGAGTCCCCTAGTGTGGAGAAAGAGAAAAGTCCGAATGGAAAGAAGGTGATAATGGTGCAAAGAGAGGCCAGCAGATTTTAGGACATCATCTCGTTCGCTGGATTGTTCAGTAGCCTCTTCCTCACCTTCGGATCCGCAAAATATTATCGTAAGTCAACTCTCGAGTCAGATGCACATTTTTCTTCAGTACACACAGAGGCAGCTGATCAAGTTCCTATCAAGGAGCTCTTTGGAGGCCAGAGGAGGCCGAAATCAAACATCGAGGAAGAGGGTGAGAAAACAGAAGGTAGAAGGACCCACTGTATATGAACCAAAGACCCGAGCAGCCAAGACTCGTGTTGCTGCAGCTAGGAGGTAACCTTCCGCCCCGACATCTGCCCTTTAGCCTGTTTGCCCACATCTAGATGATGACAGTGGGAATTTGAGACTGAGTGGAGCAAAGCTAATCTTAAGAAGCGGTAGGGGTGGACAAAGTCTGGGGCATTATTGATTGGTTAGGTTTAGACTGGAGCTAGCGGTGGTCTCTGATATGTGGCGGGCATAGCCGGTAGCCCGAAGAAAACAATGGATGCAGTTGTTAAAGCCAGTAAGTTGTGTAGCCATCGACTTGGTAAGGGAGTTCTACGCGGCAGTACATCCTCATTCGAATATGGTAATACTACGTGGAAAGGAGGTGTGTTCGATCTTAGTCCCGATGATATTTCTGTAACACTAACCATTTGGCCGTATGTTGCGAAGAATCAGACATGCCTACCGAGAATGATCTAACATATCATTCCTGATTGGGTGTTGCTCGTCTATGCCACGATGAAGGGATTTTCAATAAACTTTGGAAAGCTTATAGAGGGAGCAGTGTTTTCGAGGCGCAAGGCGCACCGCAAGGCGACGAGTCCTTCGATCGACTTGAGGCGAGAGACGATACAAAGACAACGCCCGATTGAAGCGAGGCGCACCTTAATAAATAAGTAAAAATTATATATATAGTGCATAAACTACCTTAAAAAAATCAATACCAAAATAGTAAAGGTCAACAAGATGCATAAAATAACCAAATTCTATAAGTTTAGTTCCAAATTCTAGAGTCTGAAATAGAACAAAAAGTAAATATAAGTAATCAAACATCATCATCCTCATCTAAATCTAAATTCTCTTCATCTTGGACGTCCTCACAATCTTCCTTTTCCAATTCTTCTTCTTCGGTGTCATCATCATCATCACTAACCACCACTTGCACTGATTTTCGAACTCTTGAAGTTGTGGGAGCGGGAGTAGCGGGAGTAGCGGGCGACTTTCCTTTAGATCTTGCATATGTTCTAGTTTGCCTTATGGGCTCTCTAACACCACTGGCCTCGGCTACATTTCCCCATGTGAGGTCGTCATCATCAAAGACCAACTCATTTTCTTCTTGACCATCTTCTTCTTCGAGTGTTCCGATTAACCATTCATTACTTTCATCAATATGATCCAAAGTAATTGGATCAAGTTGGTCTTGTAGAGTGTAGCGCTCTTTAAGTGCTTGGCTATATTTTATATAAACCAAGTCATTAAGACGCTTTTGCTCTAACCTGTTCCCCTTTTTGGAATGAGTCTACAGAATTATTAACGAATGTAGAGTCAAAAGTGGATTTTTCAATCTTCAATTAACAATGGAAAAACCAAATTACTCTCACTTACGTGTTCAAAAACACTCCAATTGCGCTCCCAACCAGAAGCGCTGCACGTTAGACTAAGGACTTTCATGGTTAACTTTCGTAAAATCGGAGCATTAACACCATAAAGAGACCACCATGCAGCTGTGCACATATTAAACAAATGATTTAGAATTTTAGTAGTTCAAACTTAAATGTCTATTAAAAATTTAAAACTAAAAGTAATAAATAATGTCATTACCTGGTGTTTTAACACCCCTCGTCCTTATTGCTACATTACTCGAAAACATGCCTTTTGCTTCATTGTACAATTCTAATTCGATTGAACATTGAACTTGATCATCAATAGATGGTATTAATCGTTCTATAACTTTGATCGGACCATCCATGACCTCAGGATCTTGCATAATTCTCTCTTTGTTGTCATAGAAAAGAGATGGATTCAAATAATATCTGACTGCATGTAAAGGCCGATGAAGTTGGCAATCCCACCTTTTATCATAAATCTCCCAAATTGGTCTATACTTCGCCTCAGTTCCATTAAAACCACTCTTAATAGCCTCCTTTGCCCTATCCATAGCTTTGTAAATATAACACATAGCCGGTTTATTACCATCTACTAGCCTCAACACACGAACTAAAGGGCCCGATGCTTTCAAAGTATACACAACTGAATTCCAAAAAGATGGCATCATAACAGTTTCAGCTGCTCCCTTCCCCTTCGGGTCCTTCGCCCATTTAGAGGTGGTCCATTTCTTAGAAATAAACATCTTCCTCAAATTGGCTTTATTTCTGTGAATACTGGCTAGGGTTAAAAATGAAGTTGCGAAGCGAGTCACTGCTGGTCTTACCAATTCATGTTGGTTAGTAAATTCATTCATCATGTTTAGAACCACTAAGTGCCACAGCCTTCCTAAGACACCTTTTCACCTGCTCAATCTTTCCAATATCCTCCAAAATTAAATCTAGACAATGAGCAGCGCATGGTGTCCAATATAGATGAGGTCGCTTGGCTTCTAAAAGTTTTCCAGCTAGGACATAGTTTGAGGCATTATCCGTCACAACTTGGACAACGTTTTCTTCTCCAATCTTCTCCACCATGCCATCTAAGAGTTGAAAAATCTTTTCTCCAGTTTTGATGCATGAAGATGCATCGATGGATTCCATAAACAACGTTCCAACAAATGAATGAACTAAAAAGTTGATTAGTGTCCTATCCCTCTTATCAGTCCACCCATCTGACATCAACGAACAACCATTTCTCTTCCATTCTACCTCATGATCGCCCATCAGATTTTTTGTGTACTGTACTTCTTTTTTCAAGTACGTTACTCGAGCTTCAT